CGAAGTCATAAACATTTTTTTGTTCATTTCTGATCATCGCCTGGTTCGAATGCAAATGGTTGTTCGCAACAATGTCGGTCGTACTTCAATTCGGCCATATCGTTCTCCTATAACCCGGCTTTATCTAGACCGTGAGTTGTACAAAGTTCGACTCAGTCTCCTTCCTAATCAGCCTTATCCTCAAAATGCACTGGAAGCCTACGAAAGTATTCGATCATTCGTAGAGAATGCCGCTGATGGATGCTGGTCCATTCAAACAGACCCTCCAAGAATCAGCTTCAGAACCCAAACTCTCCTCTCCGAGCGGATTACTCTCCGGAATAACTCATCTTCAGTTGGTCGTATAGCATACTCCATCATTTGCAAAGCAGCTAGGATAGCCCTATTGGAGGATATACGTCAGCGAAAAACAATAACTGTGCAAAAAGCAATTGAAAGAGGCAGAAGTACGATTGAAGCGCAGAGAAAAGGGGTTCTTAGGAAGAGAAGATTGTTGATAAAGGACTCAACAACCGGAGAGTTCTAACAACGGGCAACAGAAACCGCAGTGGCGTCATATTACAACGAACTTTATAAATCAACCATTAACTTTCCTCTGAGCATTCCCTCTTCTTTCGAACCTTGCCCACCCTTCTGCATTGACGAATCGGAACATGCTCTTTCCCTACTACGCATTGGAAGATCTCCTGGCCCAGATCGAATTTCTGCGGAGCAGTTAGCTCTCGCAAAATCCACAATTGCCCCTTTGCTCACAGAACTTTTGAACGGTATTAAACAAGGCGACCCTATCCCAGAAGATTTAACGACTGCTCACGTGAAATTGTTGTTCAAAAAGGGAGATCCTAATAACGTAAGCAACTACCGACCAATTTCGCTGATATCGGGAGTACTCAAAGCAGTAACAAGAGCCATCTTGAATCGCATAGACAAAAAACTAGAAGAGTCAGAGAGCCCAAGTCAAGTCGGATTCCGAAGAAACTACTCCACCCTGAACAACATTCACGTCCTCAAACAAATCGCCGAAAAGAGTGCCGAATACAACTTTCCTGTCTATGTTGCCCTTGTCGACTACAAAAAAGCTTTCGACAGTTTGGAATGGTCCGCAGTGTGGACAGCACTTGCAAAAAGAGATGTCCATCCAGAACTAATAGATATGCTACGAAGAGTTTACGAATCTTCTTCCACAGCCGTTCTTGTTAACTCTCGACCAGTTAGGGTCACCATACAAAGAGGCATTAAACAAGGAGACACACTGAGCCCGAAACTCTTTAACCCCACCTTACAAATGGTACTCGACTTCATTGACTGGGGAGAATGCGGACTAAGTATTGGAGGAAGATTGCTTTCCAGTCTTGACTATGCAGACGACGTTACACTGCTAGCTTCCTCTCGTGTCATGCTCAAGAAAATGCTACAACTCCTTTCCAATGCATCTACTAAGGTTGGACTCCACATTGACCCAGAAAAGTCAAAACTGCTGACAAGTAGTAAAACGTCGAGGCATCCTATATGTATCGATGGAAGAGTATTCGCCTTCGTTGATCACGCCCTTTATCTTGGTTGTTGCTTCTCTTTCCCACCAAGCTCAGCAGATGAAATAGCACATCGAATTCGATGCGGTTGGAATGCCTTCAGAAGACTTCAATATATCCTTTGCAACAGAAAGGTTCCCCTCCCATTGACAGCAAGCATTCGACTCCTGTATAACCCCGACCGTACTCTATAGTGCAGAAGCATGGTACTTAAGGAAATCGGATATTAGAAGTCTGTGTGTAGCTCAAAGAAAGATGGAAAGGAGGATGCTCGGATTACGTTGCTGGACCGATGGAGCTGTGAAAGGATAAGAGCACTCACGAAAGTCAGAGACTGGATAAACGAGGCTCCAAGAAGAAAACTCACGTGGGCTAGAAAGATAAGTGAAATGGACGAAAACGTATGGGCTCGAGTGATCACGACATGGATTCCATATGACTACGTGGACCGAAGAAGGAGAGGACATTCGATGGCGCGATGAATTGTCGAAGAAGATCGGAAAAACGTGGTGGAATATGACGAAGGAACAGTTCAATGAGGCCATGATACGGCATTCGAATATGAATTGATTCCGTAATAAAGTGTAAAGTGTGCTCAGAAACGTTTCTTAGCAGAGAAAATACAGTTTTTTGAGCTCAGCATAAGGAGGGAAGGAGCACCGGGTGGGCGAGTCGATCGAATATTCAACTCATACCTCATCCTAACTTTCTGTACGAGGTAAACATTTCAGCCCCACCGCGGCACTTCTCCACTCATGAGGCTGATGTTAAAACTATATTCTCCTGCCTGAAACCGATTCTAAGCACAGGTAAGGTTGGCTACCCCTCCTTCTCTGCACTCTAGCCCTCAGTGTCGCTTAAAGCGTTACCTTACCCAGTGATGTAACAGTGTTAGTATCATAAGAGATTGAGGCGGTATTACGTATCAATTCGCGGTATACTGATGAGCACGAAGCGATTTACATGAACCTTCATAGAGAACTCAAGTTCCTTTATGTTGTAGTGGTAACGGCGCACTATCACACACGCACCTGGTCGAAGGTTCGAATCCCGAATCGATACCCGAATAGGCCAACCAAGCCTTTCATTTCTCAGGGGTCGGATAATTGGTACAAGACCGGTCCGGTAGTATTATATAAAAGCATTGATTCGTACATCGGCTGGCCACCTCCAACCACCGGCTCGGTTGGTCTATTCGGATATCGATCCGGGAAATCATTGTATGGGCCCTACACACATACAATACGTCACCACGATTCTGAATAGAAGTAGAATGTGCGAGCGCATCCCTTAGACGACCATCCTTCGTTTAACATTTCCCTTTGATCGCTGTTCTAGAAGCCCTCTGTTTTGCGATGGACATGAGAGTCACCCGGTGGAGAGTTCCACAATGGAACAGATCACATCACTTTCAATTTATTTATTTAATCATGCGTTTTATGACGCGCCAGCTATACCGGACGAGGCAGGACTGACAGCGAGACTAAGATGGATAATAGTTAAAGCAATAACTGATAGCTATAATGAACGGCAAATAAAACAGTTGTAAGTTATCAAATCCAGGAAGAGAAAAAAATGAAGGTGAAATGAACCAGAGCGAAGAATTGCTGACTGAAAAGAATAAGAGAGAGATCGTTCAAGCGAGCTGCTTCCCTCGGCGAGCAGGGCAAAAGGGGGGAGGTCTCACCTTGACTCATGTTTTCCCAAAAATGAAGTACGAAGCAATGGAACCCTAAGCCTGAAGTCCTTGGAATTAGCATTGCAGTTTAAGTCAGCACCAGTCGGCCATGGTGCCACTTCGCCACTTGAGTGGTCATGGGAGTGTACCGGAACTCCGAGACACGGGTATGCCGACCGCCCACGTGGAACCGGCAAACTTGGCAGAATCTGCAACGCATCCTTTCAATTTTCTAGGCTGTAGTAGTCATAGCCGCGTTTCAACGTTCTGGGGATATCATTAACAGCGAGGGATCTGTTCCGTTGGAGTTGAAAGGTTGTCCAAGAGTGAAACTGCTAAGCTTGAACAAACTGCATACATATAACTAGACACGAAAAACATGAATATAAACTATGACACGTCGTCAACACCCGGAACTTCCATTATGTTGATCTTTTTCAGAGCAAGTTTTAACTGAGAGGAATTTTGACACGATAAAAGGGATGGAGGTAGACGCTGCAGCCACCGAGTAGTGCGTAGAATGAAGCTATTATGACGAAGCTGTTTATGAACTTTGCCCATCGCATGACCAAAAATCTGGAAGCCACCTCGACGACCGCTGGAAGGTCGAAATATCCAGAATTCTGAGGGGCGGATTCGTAACTCTCCTTTTATTATCTTAAAAGCAAAGACTAGATCAGAAACAATTCTTCTGTGGAGAAGGCTCTTCAAATTCAGTTTGTGAAGGCGGTCCCTGTAAGGTGGGAGAAAGGAAGGATAGTTCATATCAGGGAATGCTCTATAGAATAAGATTCTCGTAAAGGTCTTCTGGACCTTTTTCAGTTTCTGGGTATCTTTCATAAGGTATGTACTCCATACAGGGCTGCAGTATTCCAGAATTGGAAGGACATATGATTTGAAGAGTCTAATCCACATGTCCTCATTGTCGCCATAGACATTCCTAAATAGGAAATGGACCAACCTGAGCGCTGTCGTTCCGAAGTTCTTCATGGGATTGATCTTCGTTTCCTACGCGCTAGATTCTGCTTTTCAGTGCGTGAAAAGAGAGCTATAAAGTTAAAGGAACGACGTCCCAAGACCTTTACCAACTGGGAACATTTCGCTCCCCGTGCGAGTCTCTGGAAGGTTATAGACAACACCAATAAATATTACAACTGGCCCCTTGAACATCTTCACGATAGAAGCCTACAAGGAGAGCCTACTAGTAGCCAAGAGCCCAGGGGTATGTCCGTTCCACGCGTCCGTCGAAACTAGGTCACCCACCCATTTCGATTCAGCACATTTCTTCTCGTGAGTCCCACTGAAAAGCGCGACTTCTGTCAAGATTCGGTGTAACAGCTCCATCATGACGATGAAAGAAGGTCGTGTTGGTCTTTTTCTCGTAATTGGCGAACCCAATGGAGTCCTGACAGAACAGTTACTGCTTCCGGAGGGCAATGGAAAAGGTCAACTACATTCTTTACTCGAGTCTCTTCGACAGCCACTTTGACTGACTACCTACCATCCTAGGCAAGACGGATATGTTGCCCCTATAATTTCTCCTAAAAAATCCGACATGCCATCACGTCCATGAAGAACTGCACGCGAGCGCTCCCGATTTGATCAAGCCAGAACATCTGAAGACTCCTCCTCTAATTGTCGCCAGAACTATGGCTAGGCTTTTCATCGTGTCTATCATAATGCAAAGTGCACAGCCGGGAAAAACTAGCAAGACTGTAATGCTGAAAGAGGAAGATCCCAATATGTAATCTATAGTAAAACTTTTCACACGTGGACATACCCAACAGGATTGGCAGAATATTAAATGAAGTACAGTCACGCGAGCAAGCAGGATTTCGGAGAGGGTTGAATACAATCAATCACATCCATACTACGACAAGATTTATTAAGTTACGGTGAGAATACAGCATGTTTCGCAAAACGACCAATGTTCATCAATTAGAAGGCCATTGAGACTGTCCTGACAGGAGAGGTATCGAAGCGCTGGGCAGTTAGAGTGTCCCTACCCAATATATGGATGATTCGAGCTCTAAGTCAACTTTACGCAGGATTTCGCCATTTTCCGAGGAAGCCATTGACTACGTGAAGAGAGGGGTTCGGCAGGGCGATACCATTTCGCTCAAACTTCTCAATGTCGCTTTCGAGAAAATGTGTGTAAATTGAAATGACACGGGATTGAAGGTCGATAGCCGCTACTTACACCACATCCGGTTTGCATACGACATCGTGCTTCCAACACCGAACATCGAGCAAGAGGTACGGATGCTGGCCGAGTTTGACAGCTCTTGTGCAAAGATCGGCTTCAGAGTGAACTTAACGAAGAAAATGCTCACGAGGAACGGTTAGTACCTGATGCTCCCTTTGCAATGAATGGAACGAACATCTCCGAATGCTCCAGCTACGTGTATCTAGACAGAGATCTCAGCATGATGACTGACCAAGCTCGGAGCTGAGGAGAAGGAAATCGCTGCGTGAAGGACATTTAGGAACATCGATGGAGTAGTGAGGGAACCGAAGAATGTTCGGCTCCGCGCTCACCTTTTCGATACCACTGCCCTTCCTGCTAGGACTTATCCCTCGGAAACTTGGACTTTACGAAAGCATGATGAACATGCTATCAGCGTCATTCAACGCGCTCGAAAAAAGACGTTATTGGGGATTTCTTTATACACGCGAGTGCAGCGGAGAATCCAAAGTTCCGAGTTTTGTAAACGAAAAAAGATCAGGGATTCCACCAGGCGGACACGTCATCGATATCGCGATGACCGTTGGACCAGGGCTGGCACTGACTGTCCCTGGAGAAGTCAAGCGAACACCAGGACAGTCGCCAGTGCGATGGTCAAATTTCTTCACGAAAGCTCTGTACAAAAGGAATGCCGTGTCTTGTGTCCTCAAGCGGGACGAACCACTGCACGACTGTAATTCGCCACAGGGACGGATGTAGACATTGCTGGCGCACATTCGAGAAAATCGATGACTAACGGAACGATAGGTGACAGGTGATGTATGTTAGTGGATGCGTGTGTAGGCGTGGGTGTGTCAGTGTGTGTATGTCGACGTGTGCGTCGGTGTGTGTCCGTGTGTGTGTCGGGGGTATGTGGACTTACGTGCGCTTGAGGACTTTAGCGCCTATCATTGGGGCCCAAATTTGAAGTAGAGTAGATTGGAGGGATCATCTGACCCTACTAAACTACTCTACTTCGAGTTTGTGCTCCGAAAATTGGCATCAGAGTCGTACAAATCGTCACGAACTTCGCCGCGCAAGTTGCCGCGCGTGTTCTCGGACGCACGTAATGCACATTTCCCGTGGGTCGGCGTGCTTGTGTGTAGGGCATTGGTGTGTCAGTGTGATTATGAACATGAAAGTACCATTTTTCTGAAAGAGGAATGGTATTTCAGTCGAACATATCGATGCAAAATATCATAAGAACCGCCCTGCCGCTGGATGATAGTACTACTCACCCCCCCCCCCCTCCCCTTCGAGAAAAGCCACGAGGTGTCGGTGTCGAGCGGGAGCGACCGAAAGTCATGAATCGGTTGTTGGGTTGTTCCACTTGTTGAGGCAGATGGATCGAATGCAGGAGAAGAATTGGATTTATGAACCTTTCTTGCAAAGAGCTTCTGTCTCGATGTGTAAAAGTTGTTTATTGCCTGTGCAACCAAAAGGGAGAGGTGATAAGGTGGCAAGTGGCGCTCTATTGCACGTACAGTTCGCGGTTCGAAATCCGGATCGACACTCTCTTACCTCAACCAAGCCTCCCGTCCTCTGAATTCGCTTAAATGGTACCGAATTCGTCTGGGAGG